GTAATACTTTCTTTCCTGTTTTTAAGGTATGAATTCTTAAAATGTAACCCAGTCCCACGCTGGAAGTCTTGCCTGGCTACAAAAGATGACCAGGTCAGACTTAGTATCCTCAATTACTAGGAGTCCTCACTGGGTAAGGTCTTACTTAACGCAGGTCTTTTTTACAGAAAAGATGCATGTTTTGGTGTTCCTGGCTTTGCTGCACTGTGTATGCATGACAAAACAGTATGATGAAAGCAAATGATTATAAGATGTTTTGTTTCCTAGTAAGTTCCCCAAAACAGAGATTGACAAATCTACTATGAATCCCCAGAAATTCAATTACTTTTAAGCTTCAGTATTCTGGAATACATAAGATAAATGCATGATTAATGAAATGGAAAACAAAGGTATAAATTCTGTACTTTAAGAGGCATAGTATAAATAGTAGGTATTAGATCACATTTAACTAACTGCATCAAATCAGCTAGGCCTGGAGAAGGCTCAGTGGTAGAGTGTTTGGCCTGTTTTGGAAATAACATGGCTTTGATCTCCAACACTGAAAACAAAAGTTAAGCTTGATTGAATCTAGTGTGTTCCCACATCATGTGGCATGGAACACTGTTTAGGGGAAGTAAACTATTGCTTTAGTACAATGCTGAGGAGAAATATCAATTTGGAAAACCATGGTCTTTTCACATCCTCTTTAACAGGTGAAAACCTGAGGCCCAGCATGTGCAAGGCCCTAGGTTTCATTCCTTCCAGCACCCCAAGAAAGAAGTTTACAGTGGGCTGGGAGTGCAGACTTGTGGTAGAATCTTACCAAGCATGAGGCCCTGGTTTCCAACCCCAGTACAACTAAAACAAAATATAACAAAAACTGACACCAGATCACACACAGCAACTGAGGACAAGCGAGACCACACCTGGGTAGCTGCAAAAGGCAGAACTTTGAACCTAAGCTATTCTCAGGCCACAGTTGTTTCTAATATTTAAATTATAAAATAGGACTCTGGATTGACTACACACAGTTAAGCCATTAATTTACATTTAACATTTGGGTCACATTTTCTGGTTTGGGTTTACTTCTGGGTTTTTTATTCTTTATTAAAAATAGAGGTACACCTGGAGATTTGCTCTCCCGTTAGTAATTCTGAGGAACTATCAAGTTTAACTAAAAGTAACCATTAGATTAAGGCTTTCAGACTACCTGGGCTAGAAATTACCTGTAACTTATGTCAACTCAGCACAATCAAGGGGTTGACGACCAGGTGAGTTATTTAGCATAGAATGACAGCCTACGTTATTCATAAAAGGTCGCATTAACTTGAACAAATACAACTAACCCTAAAATGGCAAGAAGTTAACAGCTATGTAAAGAGCCGGCACCATCAAAATGAACAGTTTTGTCTTCGTAGTTCAGACCTATGAAATGAGGGAGATTCCTGTATTTTTCTAAAAAGGAAAAAAAAACAAACCAAAAATGTGTGTTTTGCCTACAACCTGTAAATCTGATTTTTCTTCAACTCCCCAGAACTCTGTAGATAACGGAAGAATAAACCAACACGATTTACTGGACCAGAAGAAAGTAAAGTGGGCTTGCCATTCCCGCCGCCCCGGGGTAGGGAGGGGAGAAGCCGGTTAAGTACGGGTATGGTGCAACTTTCAAAGCCTTGGGAATCAAAGGTGAGGGCTGTTAACAACTTCCGTGTGCTAGCCCGACTTCCCCTTCGTGAACTTGGCTGTGCTGTCTAAGCCTCAGCACCGGCGCATCGCACCGGCGGGCCTCGGCGTCGCCTCAATCATAAAGGGACCCACCGGACCGGCGGGGCGGCGCGGTGGCTGGAAGCCTCCAACAAAGACGCGGGGCGCCCGCGCCCGGGTGACACCTCCCCTCGGTCCCGCACCGGTGGCGGACGGGGTCTTGGGGTCCCCCCACCCGCTCCGGCCGGGCCCCGCTTCCCCCGCGGCGGGCACAGGTGGGGGCCGGGTGGCGACACCCCGACGCCACACCGCAGGCCGGCCCCGGAGACGCCCACCCGAGCCACGCCGCACCGCCGCCAGCCGCGCGACCGCGCCGGGGGCGGGGACGCTGTTACCTGCCGCGGGCTCTGCCGCTCCCCGCCGGCACCGCTCTCCTGGCAACCGCGGCAGCCGCACCAAGGCCGCCAGCCTAGGGCCTAGTGACAGCTACCAGCGTGCACCGCGCGCGCCCACGCCGGCGTCGACGTCGGCGGCCTCGATCCCGCCCCCCCGCCCAAACCCCGGCCGCTGCTCGGCGGCCCGCGCTAGCTGGCGCCACAGCGCCCTCACGCGGGCGATCGTGGAGGCGGCCGCAAGAAAGGCGGGAGCTGGGGTTTTTAACCAGCCAGAAGACAACCTCCGTTTGTTTGATGGATACGGGCGACTGAAGACAGCCGCGAAGTATTATTTTTTGAGTACAATCCAGAGGATCCAACAGGGCGTTGGTGGCGCACGCCTTAACCCCAGCACTCGGGAGGCAGAGGCAGGAGGATCTCTGTGAGTTCAAGGCCAGCCTGGTCAACAGCACTGTTCTAGGACAGGTTCCAAAGCAACACAGAGAAACCCTGTCTTGAAAAACCAAACCAACCAACCAACCAACCAACCAACCAACCAACCAACCAACCAACCAACCAACCAGAAGATCCATCAATACTTATAACTTCAGGCTCAGAGTCTGTATGGAATTGAGAGACAGTTTAGCACTATTTTGTGTCTAGATTTCTTTCAAACATAGAGTTACTCCAAAGAGTTTTGTCTGGACTATAGCATCAAGGAGAGAAACCCTGTGTCAAAAAGGAAGGAAGGAAGAAAATTTTTTACAAGTATTTTTGTGTGTACAAGTTTTAAACCACTTATGAGGAGTATTCTATGACTTCCCTACGTATCAATATTTAAGCATTCTACATTAAGTGTTAAAAGTGGAAGATGACAATTGTCCTTCAAATAAATGAGGTGACACCGAAGAGTAGTTGTCCCCCCCCACACACACACAAGGTTTCTCTGTGGCTTTGGAGGCTGTCCTGGAACTAGGCTGGTCTCAAACTCACAGAGATCCAACTGCCTCTACCTCCCGAGTGCTGGGATTAAATAAGTGTACCACCACCACCCATTGAGCAGTTGGTTTTGCTTCTTCAAAGATTATTTATATTTGATGTGTGAGAGTGTCTCTAGGTGTGTATGTGCATGCCTGGAGCCCAGAAGGGGTCAGATGCCCTGGAGCTGGAGTTACAATGATGAGTAGGTGGACGTGTGTGCTGGAAACCTAACTTTTAAGTTCCCTGGAAGAGCAGCAAGTGCTCTTAACTGCTGAGCCAACTCTCCAGTCTCCAGCTCTTATTTATTTATTTGTTTATTTAATTATTTATTTTTCAAACAGAGTTTTCTGTGTAGCTTTGGAGGCTGTCCTGGAACTAGTTCTTGTAGACCAGGCTGGTTTCAAACTCACAAGACCCTGCCTCTTCCTCCCAAGTGCTGGGGCTAAAGACATGCACCACCACTGCCCAGATTATTTGTTTTTTAAAGCTATTATTCCCACCCATGATTTCAAACTGTTGGGATGAAATGGGAATTGATGTAACATGAGCAACTTGAAGCACCTCAAAAGGTAATTAGAAAACTTGTCTGATGTTACTGTTCTTTAATATATCAAGGATTGCTTTGTTTTGAGGCAGGGTCTTGCCACATAGCCCTGGATGACCTTGCACTCACTATATAGCCCAAACTGACCTTGAATTTGCAGCAATCCTCCTGCCTCAGTCTCCTTAATGCTGGGATTAAAGGTATACACCATAATGCTTGGCTTAAAGAACTTGTTTAGAAATGCTTCAGGTTTGTTGTGTGGTAATTATAACTATAAAATTATGAAATGGAACAACAATAAATTAGATTTCTGTCCTGGCTAGTTTTATGTCTTCTTGACACAAAATAGAGTCGTCTGAACGAAAGGAACCTCGCTTGAGACAATGCCTCCATAAGATGCAGATGCAAGGCATTTTCTTAGTGTTTGACTGGCGAGGACCCAACCTGTGGTGGCTGGTGCTATCTCTGGGCTCATGGTCCTGGGTCCTATAAGTAAGCAGACTGTGCAAAGCCGTGGGAGCAAGCCAGTAAGCAGCCTTCTTCCATGGCTCCTGCTCAGCCCCAGCCTCCAGGATCCTGCCCTGTTTGAGTTTCTATTCTGAGTTCTTTCAATGAACAGTGCTATGGAAGTGTAAGCTGAATAAAATCTTTTCTTCCCAAGCGTTTCATGATAGCAACGATAACCCTAAGACAATTTCCTTCATACTAGCTATCATTGATTTAAGCAACAGCCTCTCACTTCTAAAGAAGTCCTCTTGAAATTCTATGGCCTGATATATTTGTTTATACCAAACCATATCCTTTACTGTGTCAAACTTTAAAAATGTATCTCGTAGTAGCAATGAAATTATGACTTCGCTGAGTCTTTTATTTCTGTAATATAGTGGGTGTGTACATCAGCAATTACTCATTTTCTTTTTGCTTCTCTAAAGTTATATGATTAGTCCCTAAACTCGAGATACTAGACTCCACCCACAGAGACCTTACATTTTCTGCAACTGTTTCAGTTTCGGGCTATCATATGAAGCAAATGCAATACCCCATCAATCTTTGACATTTTAGTTACATCGGACATGGAAGCTAACAAAACAGTCCTAGTTCCAAAAAGAGGAGACTCAGATAAAGTGGGCTTTGGGGTGGCCATTCAGCTCTGGACCAGGGGCAAGTACCCACCTCTGCTGTCTCTGCTCCATTATCTTCCTCATCCCTACCCAAGCCATCCAGAGGAGTCCCTCCCGCCCCCCACGTCTGAGCTTTCTGCTCATTTCAGGGAGAGAAGTGCTCAGATCAAGCCATCCCTCATCCTTACAGTGGAGGCCAGCTCTGCTCTCTGTCCCCTTGTGTTACAAGAGCAGGGTCGGGCGCCTCGGCAGTGCGTTCTCCGCCCGAAAGGCGGCGCTGTAGCCAACAGACCGCGACCGCCGGATCCCGCCCGGCCACCGCGCTGCCACCGCCTGGGAGCCGCCTGTGACACGTGCTCCAACTCTGTCCGGGCTCTGGTGACTGCGGCCTGGGTCTCGCGTGCGGGCCTGAGTGGGCTATGGCGGTGGCTGCGGCGGAAACGCGCGTGTTCCTGGAAGTGCGGAGACGGCTGCAGAGCGCGCTGCTGATCCTGGGGTAAGGGCGGGGGCGCCGGTGCGCGGGCCCGCGTGTGCGAGCCTTGTTCGTGGCCAAGGCGCCGGTGCGCGGGCTCGGGACGGAGGGGGCGAGCGCGAGTGACCGTAGGCGCGTGCGCGAAACAATGTGCGCGTGCGCTGGACGGGACTGGGTGGCGAACTTAGACCTTTATGTTTGCCTGGCAAGCGCTTTAGCCACTGACCTGTTTCCCCAGCCTGTGCGCAAACTTTTAATTTCATATTTGCTACACAAACAAGAAACCTGGCGGGAAAATACACTTTTTAGATTATGCTTAGCAATCTTAATGGTTTGTGATCTCTTCATAGGTTTCGCCTATTTCTCTGTGACAAGCGTTTCAAATAGACATGGGTCTGAAAATGTGTTTTATAAATATATAAACTATCTATCTATCTATCATCTATCTATCTATCACCTACCTACCTACCTACCTACTTACCCACCTGAATTTCCTCAGTTTTAGTTTGGGATTGAGTCTAGGCTCAGTGTAACTCATTCGCCTAGCATGTACAGGTTCTGAGATCACTCCCTAGTACGGGGTTAAAGGGTGAAGTGATAGATAAAGGAGTTGGGTCATAATTTCCAACAAATATCTGCAATCTCTGTCCATCTTGTTTGGTAATTAGGAGCACAAACATTACCAAATACAAACACTCTGTAAGCAAGTTAAGAAACTTATTTTACTAGATAGCTTGTTGGCCTCTGTGGTGTTTTGACTGTTGGCCTTTGACCTCTAGCACCAGTAACTTCCCCTGTGACAACCATGGTCTTCATTCAACCATTCCACACAATGTCACTGTTTCTTGACCTGTGTTGACACATGTATTAGTCAGGGTTCTCTAGAGTAACAATTTACTGAATGAATCTCTCTATATATAGAAAGGGGATTTACTAGAATGACTTACAGGCTGCAGTCCAACTAATTCAACAATGGCTGCTGACGTATGAATGGAAAGTTCAAAAATCCAGTAGTTGCTCAGTCCATGAGGCTAGATGGCTCAGCTGGTCTTTAGTATACTTAGGATCCCAAAGAAGTGGGCTCTAACACCAGTGAAGGGATGGGCATGAGTGAGGGCAAGTATGCTAAGAGCAGAGAGCTTCCTTCTTCCTAAAGTAGGCTTCCAGCAGAAGGTGTGACCCAGACCGGAGGTGGCTTTTTCCAGCTCAGATCTGGAAAAAGGCATGTCTTCTACCTCAAAGATCTGGATTAGAAGCCAATCTTCCTACTTCCAGTTAAGCAAAAAATCTCTCACAGGTGTGTACTCCATTTTGGGATTTTAGTTAATTCCAGATGTAGCCAAGTTGACACGGCTTTCACAACACTCATTGGTCTTTGTTTCTATCTGCTTTCCCCAACATTTTTTTTTTTCTTTTGAGAGACCATCAAAAGCTGGTATAAATTACTGTGTAAACCAGGTTGACCTTGAACTCACAAAAATCTGCCTGCCTCTGCCTCCACAGCATTGGGAACCTTCAACAGGGCTGTGAGATCCATGGTTCGTCTGTGTTGTTGTGTGTGATGGCGGCTGGGTATTGGAGCTAGGCAGATGCATCTGCCACTGAGCCACACCCCCAGCCTTGTTTAATGTCTTTTTATGACATATATACCCTTGAATTAATACCTAGGGGTGAAATTACTGGAATGTAGGATAGATGTGCACATTGCTTGGTGAGAAACTGTCAAACAGTCTTTAATGTGGCCAATCTCTTATGTTTGAGCCATTTTAGTGGTGATGAGGAAGTATTTCATGGTGGTTTTCATTTCCTTGGGGACTTAAAATCCTGAGAACTTTTTCATCTACTTTTTGATAATCCAAGTGTGTTATTTTATAAAGTATCTTGTGGTTTCTAACTAATAAAAGCAGGTTAATCTCTGGCTGATAAAAACAGGTTAGTTTCGTTGCTAAATTGAAACGATATAAAGCCACCTGTTGTAAGTATGTGTGGATGTCTCCCTGCATCTGTGGCAGACATTTTTGGTTTCCTAATGCACATTGAGTATGCCCTATTGGAAAAGGTCTGGGTGGGCATGAAGTGATTTTGGACCTTTATAGAGTTTGTAGTATTTGTGTAGACTTGTTGAGCATCCCTAGCGAAGTGGTATGTGTCAGAATAATTTTCATTCCAGCGCATTTTGACCTTTTGGTTTAGGGGTACACAGTATGTTCTGTCTTTTGATGAGCAGAAAATTAAATCTTAATAAAACCTAGTTTCTCAAGTTTTATTTTTTAAACAGCCTTTTCTAATATCTTAAATCTTTTCCTACCTCAACTTTGTGAATACTTACCCCCCCTCCAGGTTTCTTTTACCTTTGTCTCTATTTAGCAATGGGTCTTGCTGTGCTGGCCAGGATGTCCTTGAACTCCTGGACTTTAATGGACCCCTCCCCTTGCCTCAGCTTCCCAAGTCTCTGGGACTCTAAGTGTGGCTGACCCTGTGCTTAGCTTTTGTGCATTTGTTTATAGGAGGGTTACCACTTTTGTTTCTATCTCTGGCATATTGGATTAATTCTTCTGTGTTCACAGTGAAGTAGGAGTCAAAGTGTATTTACTATATGTGGATATCCAGTTGTTCCATGACCTTTAATTATGACTGTAATTTTCTCATTGGATAGTTCAATATCTGTATGAGAAATCAGTTCACTACACTGTTTGCACGAACATTCCTTCCTGCCTTTATACTTTAAACCTGTGTCTTTATAAGTGATTTTTTTCCCCCAAGTAGCACACAATTGAGTATTTCTGTCATGGAAAATTTGACAACCTGGGCATTCACTAGAATTTTTAGTACTTTTATTTCTAGATATGGTTGAGTTTGGCTCCTCATCCTTATTTTCGTTTTAACTCTTATACTAGCATTTTAAAGTTAGTGAATGAAGAGATGGGTTGTACATTCATTGTTTCTCTTGCCCCTTTGCTCCACCCCCATCCCCACCCCCTGGCCCCTCCCTCCCCTCCCCAGCTCTCTTCTGCTTCAGGGCAAATGCATTCCCTTACCTTCTCTTCTGTTTTCATCTCTCGGCTTCCTTAAAACCCGTTTCTCTAGCCCGGCCTTTAATGCCAGCACTTGGGAGGCAGAGGCAGGCAGATAGATCTCTGTGAGTTCTAGGCCAGCCTGGTCTACAGAGTGGGTTCCAGGACAACCTCCAAAGCAATACAGAGAAACCCTGTCTCGAAAAACAAAAACAAACAAACAAACAAACCCATTTCTCACTCTCACTGTCCCATTTCTCATTTTATGACCACCCATACTCACCCCCACAAGTATAAAAATTAAAGTCTAGGATCCACAGCTGGGTGTGGGTCAGCACTTGAGAGGCAGAGACAGACAGATTTCTGAGTCTGAGGCCAGCTTGGTTTACAGTTCCAGGACAGCCAGGGCTACCCAGAGAAACCCTGTCTCCATAAAAACAAAAAAAGGAAAAGAAAAAACTCCCTCCAGGTGGGGTGGGGTGAGGGGTGGATCTAGGATCCACCCATGAGAAAAAACACGTGGTGTTTGACTGAGTTTGAATTAATCTGATGAGCTCCGGTTCCATCAGAGTCCTGGAAGTGCCATGATTTCATTTTTCTTTCTGGCAGAATAAAATTTCACTGTGTTTATGGAACACCTTTACTTTGTCCATTCATCCATCCAGCCTGGGTCTATTTTCTTAATGTTGTGCTTAGTGCAGCAATCAACACAGATGTACAAGTATCTTTGTGATTCGACATAAGAGTCCTCCAGGCTGGGTGGTGGTGGCACACACCTTTAATCCCAGCGCTCGGAAGCAGAGGCAGGTAGATAGATCTCTGTGAGTTTGAGACCAGCCTGGTCTACAAGAGCTAGCTTCAGGACAGCCTCCAAAGCCACAGAGTAACCCTGTCTCAAAAAAACAAAACAAAAAAGCATCCTCCAGATATATACGAATGTAGCACAGTTAGGTGGTAGTTTTAATTTTAGTTTTTGAGAAACTTCCCTACAGTGTCTATACCAGTTAACATTCCTGCTCATTGTGGCAATGGGTGAATGAACAGTGATCAAGAAATTTTAAAAAACCAAACTAAACAAAAACCATAAAATAAAATACTGAATAGAGGCAACTTCCTGGAAAAATACAACAGACAAAGGTGACGGGTGGAGAATAAGCCTCTTAGTCAGTGTAATATTTGCTTAACAAACTGGATGGGATGCGGTTTGGAATACGAGATGCCAAGTGGAAGAAAGCATGCCTAAATGGGCCATTGGGAGAGGCGGAAACTGTGAGGGCTGGGTTCTTGTTACAGTATCTTTTCTCTCCTTGCTTCCTGACCACCATGAGAGCAGCAGCTCTGCCATGATGTTCAGCTTTCCTTCTGGCCCATAGCAACAGGCCTAAGACATCATGGTGTTGTAATTTTACAAAAGCAGCTCGAGAGAGAAAGAAAGTGGCCATGGGACAGAGTTCAAATGGAGGGTTTGTGTTAAGGGAAAATGGTGATAAAAAGGGGGAACGGGAGGAGGGGGGGGAGGGAGGTGGGCAGGGCCCTTTTAAAAAGGGAACTTAAGTGAACAGGCACAGGTGGTTCTCTTAGTGGCAGCAGCTGAGGACGTATCCTGTCAGAATTCCAAAGGCAGGCCAGTACAAATGCCTAAATACTAACACATGGACTGAAATGACCGAAACCAGAGATACCATGAACATTTCTTCTTCTTCTTCTTTTTTTTTTTTTTGGTTTTTCGAGACAGGGTTTCTCTGTATTGTTTTGGAGGCTGTTGGTCCAGCCTGGCCTCGAACTCACAGAGATCCGCCTGCCTCTGCCTCCCGAGTGCTGGGATTAAAGGCGTGCGCCACCCCCGGCCCGGCTGAAAATTTCTTCTTTTTAAGTTGGTTTTCTGAGGTATTTTGTGGCAGTGACAGGAAACTGACTAATCTAGTGCTTACTTCATGGCCAAGTATTTAATAACCTGATCTCTAGTAACAAAATAAGCCAAAGGTCTTGATTTGCAGCATTTGGTGATTCCTGCGGTGTAAATATTTTCACCACGATGACATTTAACCTGCAATATTTGCAGCTTTCCTGTTGTTTGCGTATCACTGAATCTTATGGGACATCATAAGGTTGCTTGCTGCTTTTCAGTGAGCTTAGAGAAGTGTGTGGCCCTTAATAGCTTCAGTAAGAACGTCTCAAGAACAATAACCCAAGCCACCAAAACTAGAGTTTCAGTAGAGGGCACTCGACTTCTTTGTTTCCCTCTTTACTTGGCAGCATAGCAGTATGGTGTAGGCGCATCTCGTTTTTTTTTTTTTTTTTTTTCTTCGCTAGTCCTGATGTAGTCCCCCCCCCCCCAGGAACCATATTGTTTTGCTTTTAAAACAATTTTTTAAAATTTACTATTGGGTGGGGCAGTGCATGTCTATAATTCCAAAAGTTGTGATTTGGAAGCCAAAGGATCAAGAATTCAATGTCATCCATTATATAGTGAGGCTGAATTGGACTACATGAGACCTTGTCTTAAAAAGTGGATATATGTGAGTGAGTGTGTGTGTGTGTGTGTGTGTGTGTGTGTGTCTGTCTGTCTGTCTACAAACACATGCTGGGAATCTAGTCTAAGGCCTTGAATATGCCAGGGCTTCTTTTTTACATGGAAATTGTCTTTATAGACTTCGATTTGATGCTCATTGTCATTGGAATGTCATTTCTTTCAGAAATAGGATACATAGATGGACATATATTGTTGACTTATGCGTGTACACACATTCACATCTATTTATATCACCCCTAAGCCATGATTTCATAGAGGTATCCCTAGTTCTAGTCCACTGCCATAGGGTGCAGGCCAGCTTTCTCCCCTCCCCCATGCAGCTGTTCCTGTGCAGTTCATTAGCTCACAGCGTGCGTCTCCCCCCTGCTCAGCCCTCTGCGCAACCAGGATACTTCTGGGTCCTTTACTGTTTCCTCTCCCCCCTCTACCTTCTTCTAGCCCAAATGCTTGTGTCCTCTTGAAATCTATGGGGCTTAAATTCTAAATCCTCTGAGAAGTGATGCTAGGAGGTCAGGCCAGGCCTCTGAGAGATCATTAGGTTTCTGTGAGGCCATGAGGATGTAGCCTTTGGGAGGAAGGTAATGCAAGAGGGAGAGACCCCGAGAGCTGCCTTGCTGCACATTATCTTATAGAGGCCATGCGGTTTGTGGTAGGTACCGCCCGTCTCCAGACCTGCAAGTTCAGCATCCTCAGGATGAAAATCCATACAAGAAGACTGACACCTGCTTTGAGTGTGTATAAGCTTTTCTCCCTTGCTGTGACCTCCTAACTGTTGACGTACAGTCCAGTCCGTTTGGGGCATTGTGTGCAATGCAGACAGGGTACTTCCTGGGCTTTGCCCCGCTCTGTGGAAGTGGTTGAATTTTCAGAACTGGGAAGAGGAGTAGTCAGCGGAAGCAGTGGCAATGGAGACTCAAGTACCCATCGGTTTCTTTGGGAGCACTTCTAAGTGCCAGATGTGTTTTAAAATTAGCGACGTAGGAAAGTGGACACCAAACTACACCAAACTACATATCTAAATGTGGCCTCTTTTGGCACAGCCTGTGAGCCAAACGTTGCACTTTTCTGTTGTTTGGGGTTTGTTGTTGTTCGAGACAGTCTCACTGAGGATCCCAGGCTGGTGAACTCAGGAAATACTTACTCTCTGCCTTTTTGCAGAAAGCTGGCTGGCATCTGCATTTCCCTACGAACATCAGTTAACAATACTTTAATTTCCAGACTTTAATGCTGGTCTCAGAGACAAGAGTTAAAAACGTGACCCAGGACTTCCACAGAGTGACAGGCCACAGTCTTGATAGTCTAACCTCATCTTGTTCTTCCCACAGGGTTGCATTTTTCTGGGACAGGAATTTTTGGGTCTCTATGGGAGGGAAGCATAGCAATGCTGGGTTAAGCTTTTGCTTCTTCCACGCAGTGTGAAATGTGTGGAATTTTCATCATCAAATCATTAACTTGGATTTTATTTTGCATTGTCAGTGAGCCAGATGAAGGAGGGATGAACCTGGACGTTTCTATAACGCCCACCTCACTCTTGATGCGGACCCCTGACGGCTGCACCGAGACCCAGCTTCCAGCAGAGGTCAGGCTTGTGCCTTCCTCGTGCGGCGGCTTGCAGTACATCCGTGGAGATGGGTTGCATCTGCGTCTGCAGGCTCGCACTGAATCAGGCCCAGGTGAGTAGGAGCCCCACCCCAGATGGATGCTGAAGTCCGTTGAGTTGAACTTTTTCCAGGTGAAAAGACTGGCGGTCAATGACCCGGAAGGGCTAAAGGATTGAGAAGCTCCAGAGAGAAGAGCCACTGCCAGTTACCAGCTGTGTGACGTGAAACATGTCACGTTGTCACTTAACTTTTCTGAACCTTCACTTCTTAAAATACATGCTTAAGAGCCCAGTTTGTTTCTTTATTCATAAATGTCCGGCTAACAGATATGAGGGTAAAATCATAAAGCGGTTGTCCAAAACCTGGTTGGTTTTAAAACGTTACATAGATATGTGTTCACTCAGCAGACAGGTTAGCTCAAAGTAGGTGTGAGCCGTTTGATATGGGTGCTGGGAACAGAGCTGCCAACAAGCCACAAAGGCCTCTGAGATTGTGGAGTGTTTATTCCAATGGGCGGGAACTTCGGATGCCGACCACATAATTTGCATACAGTAAAATGCTTTGGTTAAAGAAGGCAGAGTAATGCCTTGTCCCCATGGCTGCCTGAGGGTGAGATCATTTGACCAGAGGACTGACCAGTGGAAATGATCTCATCCGTGCAGAGACCATTTTACATGTATAATACATGTAGACGACTCAAAGTTACATGTGAGGAAGAGTATGGTGTCGCCATTGGAAACACTGCAGTGTTTGTGATTGCATACAAACTCAAAATGTATATTGATACAGATAGGTGATTTAAAAAAACTTTTCTTACCGGGCGTTGGTGGCGCACGCCTTTAATCCCAGCACTCGGGAGGCAGAGGCAGGCGGATCTCTGTGAGTTCGAGGCCAGCCTGGTCTACAAGAGCTAGTTCCAGGACAGCCTCCAAAACCACAGAGAAACCCTGTCTCGAAAAACCAAAAAAAAAAAAAAAAAAAAACTTTTCTTTTTGTAAGATCTTGTGATTTTTTTTTTTTTGATACTGGCTCATCATATCGTTTACAATGTCATGAGTTGCTGTAGATGGGGAAAATGCTGTGAAAGGGGAATCCCAATTGGAGGAAACAGAGTTGATGTTTCTTATTAGAGAAAGACCTTAGTTCTTTCTATTACTCCTGATGCCTCATTGCTGAGCCGTCTTTAGTAAGTAAGCCCTTCATCAGAACTTTGTGGGGCCTGGAGGTGGGGACAATAGGATTGTCCTAAGAAGCCTGTAAGAGATGTAAAGCCACCCTCTGGTTTTTTAAAGGCAGGAGAGGATAGAGGGAATGTTACCTAGTCTTTCTCCTGACTAATTTTGCTAATGTTCTGAATTAGTGAATATGTAGACTCAGTTTCAGAAACAAGGGAGGTGGGGGGGGGATATGTCATGTCATGCCCAGAATGACATTGAATACTACAAAACAGGGTGGGGTCACCAGGATAAGGACATAGACAACTGCCTCCCTGACTGTACCCACATTCTGGGATGGAGGTGCAGTGTGGATTTTTGATGTTGTCACTTTCCTGTTGGCAGCCATAAGCACAGCTGGAACTTCCTGTTGAGTCTGGAAAGCGGCAAATGGCAGGCAAAAGAGCCACCATGTTTTCTAGGACTCCGATAGTAAGGATAGAGGAATGGGGACATCCAGGGACAGTATTTGGGTGTGTTACCCACTCATATCTGTAACTGAATTGTTTTTTACATTTTCAATTAATGAGCAACATTTAATACTGATTGGGGACACAGTGAGTCCACTGCTGTGTTGGTTTTCATACTGTTTGTGCTTGTTGGACTGTTTCTTTATGGGCTTGAAACATTGTGCTCAAATACCTGGAAAGGGAAACTCTCAAAGCCTGTTCTGTGGTGCCTTCAAGGCTCCGCAAAGCAAAGCTGATTCTTCCGTCTTTAATTGCTTTACTGCTTTGTCCAGAATAGGGGGGGAGTAAGGATTTGCCGCATGAATGATTATCAGGTGAGTGCACACTGAAATCTAAGTGTTGTAGGAAGCAGCTTTTGGAATTTTTAGCATTCGCTTATGTCTCAAGATCTTAAAGAGTTAGTTGCCTTTTCAACTTCTCGGGAGCAATCATGACACACATCACCCTGGCACTTTTTTCTGAAGTTGATGTAGACAAAACGGTGACCTTTGGGGCTTATGATCTGTTAATTGTCCTCAGCAGCTGTGCCCATCCAGGATTCCATGCATGACTGGCTGATGGCCAGCAGGGGGCAGTGCTCCACTGAAAATTGATTTGTTCTGAAGCTTACCTTGGAGGGCTTACCTCCGTCTTCTTTCGAGGTGCTCAGCATTATAGAATAATACTGTTTATTTAACCTTCATGCAAGAGGGATTTGCAGAGACACTTAGAGATTAAACTGAAGACTTTTTTAATTGCCAGGACTTAAACTTTCTGTCATCTTCAAAAGCATTTTAAAGTGCATACACCAAGCAGATTCTTTTGCTTGCTTATAATAACTATTACCTCATTTCTTCAATTAGGGATTGTATAGATAAATAACCCAGTGGTTTTTATTTTAAATAAAAGTCTCCCTTATTTACAAATGAAGCATCAGAAATGAGAGGTGCAAGCTATTCAGTGCCACTGGATGGGCAATCTGGACTTTCCCACAGCTCTCATATCTCCCTCCCTCTCATCCCCATTCCCCACAGTTTCATCAGACACTGGATTTTGCTCTTGGATAAAGAAGCTCGTAGGGGCTTTGCATTCCTTGGACCTGCTCCACAAAGACCAGTCTGGATGCTCATCTTGCTTGTACTGTTTAACATGCAGGAACTTAAGTTTTAGTGTACACTCATTGTTAATACAGAGTTTCTCATATTTATAGAAACAAGAGAGGAAACCCACCAGTATGTTACACGGTAATCTAGGGCAATGCCTGGCTCAGGAATGCTAAGCAAAATCTGTTGTTTTTGGAAACACTTCACAATGTTTGCTTCTGGTTGAGTCATCGGATAGTGTTAATTAAGCCTATACTTTTGAGTAAATCATAAACAGTGTGTCAGTGGTAATTTATTGTGCTAGTAAGTCCTTTAAATATGATATAATGTGTTTGCTCCAAATCTCTAAGACTTGCTGTTTTGTTGATTTCCTCTAGAGCTGATTTCGGTGTTTAATCAAAGCTTGAAAGCCCAAGAATGTTGCACATTTTATTGCCAGTCCTGTGGTGAAGTCACGATAAAGGACAGGTAAGCAATGTATTGAGCTCTGATTAGAACTGTGTCTGGTGATGGTTTCTGGAAGCGATTTCCAAGGGAACGGCAGGGCCCTTGAAATGAGAGCCAGCTTAGTGTCACTTTGAACAAAGTGAACCCCGACTCCCGCCATGATCATGGAGGGGAGCATAGTGTGGTCTGAGGGAGGAAGCTGGTCTTGGTGGAAGAGCCTGGACTGATCACTGAGCAGAGAGCCTTGGAGTCATCTCTCATGTGGCCCTTTTGTTCTGATGGTGTGGGAGTGTTTCCATAGTTAGTGAATTTTCTTCCTGCAGAAGCTGTGCGGTAGGACTTGATCTGAGATGGTTCCATCAGGGCCTTTCTAAAACCATTTCCTAGTCCCCGCTTATTAAGATGGAGCATACAGAGCACAAATTAACCTTTTCTCAGTGATTAGGTTAATCTTGAAACCTGCTCTGGTGATGTGCTGTAATTACTCTATGGAGAAAGGAAGGGCTCTTTGGCTACTTCCTCAGCCTTCCCAAGTTGGCTTCTTCTTTGTCTTTTTAAAAATGTTTTCTCTTCCTCAAGTCAGCATCCTGGTTTCTTGGGCATAAATGCTTCCTCTGACTTTTCAGCTTCTAGTGATTCATGTAGAAGACAGATGGAAACATTATTACTGTTAGCAGTATTTAAAGGACGAATTCTTTGATGGGTTTTCTAAGTTGGGTGCCTGAGACAAGCAAGTCATGCTTCCTTTCTGAAGCCTGCTCCTCTTTCAAGGCCCTTGGTCCCATAATGCCAAACCTTTGCCTAGCAGATTTCCTCGTGCTCCCCATACGTCGTCACCAGGCACTGTGGCCATTGCCGTGAGAGTGGAAATCACTCCCCTCTGCCCACTGTCTCCTTACCTAATGACACTTGGTCAGCAGCCTGCTGTCTGCTCAGCCTTCATCTTCCTTTGCCCTGCGCAGACGCACTACCCCACCACTAGTAGGTGTTATAAAGCACGGCTGACTCTCTGGATGGAGAACTGAATTCTTTGCCCCCCACAGCAGCTCCTCTGTACTCCCTCCAATTTCAGCTCTTCCTTTACTCTTCTCCCTCCTCTCCAAGCTCACAGGTATCACGTGGCTCAGGCCATGAGCTTGTGTTCCATAGCCTTGGCAGCTTTTATTCACCCTGAGGCTGCCTGAAAGCTACTCCGGTTCCTGAATGCACCCCCTGTCCTCCATCACTCCCCGGTGTGCCCCAACCTAAGCGTCAGAATTCAGCTGATGTGGCACCGGCTATTTGCAGGCCTTGTCTCCCTCCTGGGTTCCATTGGGCACTCTGCTGAGGTCCATCTGCCTGTCTTCACACAGTGTGGCCTTGAGGATAGGCACACCGGCTTCCATGTCCCTTATTCCTACTCTCTTGATTGTACAGTATAGAGCTGTAGTCAGCAGTGGTAAGAGGGAGTTTCCAGTCACCGTCCACTAGCTCAGTGATCTTGGATAAGTTATTTAATCACTCTTCCAGTGTCCTTTACGAGAACATGCAGCTAACAACAGGCCCTGTCTCATAGTGCTGCTGGTAGGATCCGATGATTCAAGTGTTTCCAGCAGTGCCTGCCTGGTTCTGGGTCAGCATTCACCACGTGCTAGCAGACGCTGCAGTAACCATTATTCTTACCAGCACCCTCAGCATCAGCCTATAGAAAAAGTGTGTTCTTAGTAAGTTTTTGCTGGGTTGAATCTAGTAAAGCTTGGTGTTTTTTTTTTTTTTTTTTTTTGGCTTCCCACCAGGCCTTTCTTGCCTGCTTCCTGATCTTGGCAGTGTTCCAAGTAGATGAGCTGGCACAAATGCACCCTCAAGGTTTGGCGAGGTTACACACAGAGCTTCTTTTGAGTGATTGGCAGGGGTAAGAAACGAAGGGGTCTTACATCTCCAGAGATGAAGTTGCTATGCATCTGCACTTGGTGACAGGCCTGCTTCTCAAAGATGCAAAAGATCTTCGTGTATTCTGGCCTTCTCTCAGTCTGTTTCAGGCTTTGGTTTAATTCTCCGATGAAGTCTCTGAGACATCTCATCCCATGCCACATGCGGCGATCTGGAAGTTACAGTAGGAGCGGTGACATTCTTGGTGCTCATTACAGAAGGGAAATGCTGTTTTTTTACTGCCTGGGGTTTGTGCTTCCCTGGGGAAGTTATGCCAAAGCTCACTACAGTGCCTGTCTCTCTATCCAGGACTGTAGTCTTCGGTTTTGTGTCAGTCCGGTCTGTGATTCTGAAATTGAGACCCAGAAGGGTGTGGGGCTGGTGGTGAAAGACAGTCTTCCTTCTTGCCTATCAGTAGGCTCTGAAGAATGGTGCATGGTGTGAGCTTCCACTGTCCTGCCTATAGGGCAGAGGGCCTTGTCTGAAACCCCTTGGGCTTATTCTAGTAAAGGCTTCTAATAATGCATGTTTTCCAAACTCACCGAGAGAGCTAAGCAGTGTAACACATACAACAGAGTAAATGCCCAGCAAGCTCTATAATTGGTTTTATTGATTCCTTCTTCCCTTTCCAGATTGTTTTTATTAGTAAACTAGCAAATGACCTAGTTTAATGTCTCAAGCATTTTGGGTTGAGGACTGTGGCGCACATAGTCTGTAGGCTTCAGAGTGAGAAAATGAACATTGGCCCCCCCCCCGCTCTTTCCCAGCACACCTGTGTATCAAGCCTGTGTGCATGTCTTGAGCAGGCAGGTAGTGACTCTTGCTCAAGGGTTACATTCATCTTCATCTGAGACAGTATGCCCTGAGATTCTGGATAGAATCCCCCTAGTGTCTGCTCACAGATCTCACAATTTACTGTTGAAACCAATCCTGGCACTCTGTACTTCTCCCTTGGTGACCTGTTCTTCGAGGTTGCTAAGGACCATTTTGGTGCTTCCTGAAAAGAAAATATGGCTAGAGGTGTTTCAGGTGAGCTGATATGTGTTCTCATCAATATCAACGAATTCTAAGCGGCATTCTCAGGAAGGTATCTAGTGTTATTGACTGCTTTCTTTCGAATTTTTATTTTATTTTATAATGTGCTTGTGTATGTCTATATGTGGGTATATGAAGGTGTGCATGCAGTTGCCTGGGGCTGGAGTTATAGGTGGTTGAAAGGCATCTCACACGGGTGCTGGGAGCTGAGCCCAGGTCCTCTGTGAGAGTGGTATGTTAACTGTTGAGCCATCTCTCAAGCCTTCTTAGATGGGAATAAGTTATGTAGGTTTTGGGGCATTCTTTCCCTGTAAAATGAAGAAGTTGGGTTAGAGAAACCTGTGAAAGCTTCATCAACATGAAACTCCTCTGATCACTGAAACTCAAGAGCTGTGCTCTGGGCCTCTGTGACTCTTGAGTATCTGGCTAGTTCAAGGCTAAACTAAAGTGTGTTCTATTCTTTCCTTCTGAATAGGAGAAATTCTTGTCAAGGAAAGAACAGAAATAACCTATAAAGACATGGACTCAGAAAGACTCGTTAATGGCTTCTCATTCTCAGCCCCAGATCATCTAAGCCCTTCGAGTTATCACAGCTTTTCTCTTCCTTCAGGGCTGCATATTTCTAGCCAGTTTGCCTTGGTGGTATGTTAATTAACAACACCTTGTTTCTTTATGAAGACAGTTCTCCAATTTACAATTATTTTAGTTCAAGTTTTCCTACAAAATTTGTCTGAATATGTGCAGTTTTTGACTATGTTCTTGTTGAGGATGAACAGTTCATCCTATTGGGTAATGACGGATACATTTTCCTTTTTTTTTTTTAAAGTCTAGTAAACAGCCAGAGGTCGTTGTGTTTAAAGTTTGTTATGCTCTCTAGAAATAGATTCATGTCAGACTAGAATGACATCAGTGGCCAAACAGATTTTCCCCACGCACCTCTGTTTCCAGACTGTCCATGGCATTGTCCTCAGGGCTGTGGACCAGATCCTACTGTTCCCAGATACTGGCAATGCTCGGTGTCAGCCCCAAGCTCATGGGGGACTTTGAAACTCTTGGAGAACAGCAGGATGGGCTTTGTGGACACAGATGTCACAGTGTCCAACTGCTTGAGGGAGCCACTTGACAGGCCAGCTCTAATTGTAGCTGAAAAGAGATACTCTTGTGAATATCATCACTTGCTTATAAAAGAAACAAATAGACTAAAAAGTACAGAATCAGGCCTTGGATATGTTATAGAGCACATGCTTGCATGTACAAAGCATGTTCAGTTCCTGTCATCTCTGCTCCCCTCCCCCAAAACGGGATGTTTTCTAAACTGGCCTTTTGGCAACATTGTGTAAATTTAGGAATACGATTATATATTACAGATTAACCGTGGCATGTACAGACAAATAGTAGGATGTAAAACTAGTTTTTTCTTTTTATTATTTTTAATTTTTAAAACAATCTTATTTTACACATCATTCCCAGTTCCCTCTCCCTCCAGTCTTCCCGTTCTCCTACCTTCTCCCCACCCCATGACTGTCCATTCCTCAGAGAGGGTGAGATCTCCCATGGGGAATCAACTAAGTCTGTCCTATGACTTGAGGCAGGACCAAGGCCCTCTGTGCTGTATTTAGACTGAGCAAGGTGTCTCTCCATAGTGCATGGGCTCCAAAAAGCCAGTTCATGCACTAGGGAGAAATACTGGTTCCACTGCCAGTGGTCACACAAACTGCCCAAGCCACCCAACTGTTACCCACATTCAGAGGGCCTAGTTCAGTGTAATGCTAGTTTTATAGCACTGGTGGCCTGCCAGTTGGATAGTGTTACCTGAATTTACTTAAATTCTGGTTGCCATATTTTGAGCTTTAAGTATTTGATATATTTTCTTAGAATCTTTAATATCTACATATCTAAAAAGTTCTCTGGTATTGCCATTACTATTGTCATTGATTGGAAGCTGACTTCAAAGTTAAGGGATATTGTATTTTCTTCTACATATGTTTAAGTATCAAAACTTCATCAATAGCTTTTATTGAAGTTATATGTCTTGTGTCATTATTTTCCAGAAGTTTATGCTTCAAATGGATCAAAAA